TTTTTTATCAGCCTGTATGCTCCTAGGAGGGTAAAATATATATGCAGCTCATCCTGGTTTTGCCCAGAGCAGGTCAGCAAACTTTTTCAGCAAAGGACCAGATAGTAAACTTTTTACACCTTGCTATTGTTGGGGCTTCGTCTGACATACTTTGGACATGTTGCCAGGAGGGACGGGTCCTTGGAGAGGGACATCATGTTTGGGAGGGTGGAGGGAGGGACAGCGCAGGAGGGGAAGACCCTCTATGAGATGGATTGATTCAGTGACTGGGGTAATCGGGATGGGTGTGTCAGAGGCGGTGCGGTTGGCGTAGGATAGAGCAGGGTTTAGGGCTGTTGTGCATAGGGTCGCTATGAGTCGGAAACGACTCGACGGCACATAACAACAACAACATTGTTGTTGTTAAGTGCCACTGAGTCGAGTAGGACTCCTAGTGACCCTATGAACAGAAGATCTGAACCCTGTTCTAACCTGTGTCGTCCTCCCTGGCACACAAAGGCCCATTGCAGCAGTCACCATGCTTACACCTTGGAGACCGTAACGTCTCATTGCCCTGCCCAGCTCTACTTTGCAGAAGGAAAGCATCTATAGACATTGTGCAGATAATGGGTATGGGTATGCTCCAAAGAATCACCCTTTACGAAATGAGTGGTGGCTTAGATTTGATGGAGGGACTATGGTTCACTGACTCCTCCTTGATAGCAGGCAACCTATTCTCAAAACATGTTTAATGAATAATATGAATAAAAAGGATTCAATAAAATGCAGCTAAAACTATCTTGCATTTTGAAGGAATTATTATATTGCATAAGCTTTATCATTATTGTATGTGCTTTTAAACAATGGAAGAACAAAATTTACTACCTTTCTGAATACATAATATGAAAAAGCTGTAGTTTGTTTTAAAAATGACCCTATTTCCAATTTCATATCATGGGCTTTCCTATCAACCTTTTAATTGATTCCCATTTTGTTCTAATTAACAGCATCTGGAAAAATCACACGCAGTTCTAACTAGGGAAGAGACAGATGAGCACTGAGGAATTGTCCATTCCCTGGAGTTCATGTCCACCCATCTCTAAACTGAAGACTGAAGATGCTACAGCTGAGCAGGGTGAAAGGAGATCAGAACTTGGTTTATCTGCTAAGAAGCCCAAATCTTACCCAATGAAATCGTGATAATCCTTGACTCTTAAAAATTCTCCAGATGAGAAAACGGGCTCATTCAGCATCCTTTCTATTTCAGACACGTTCCCTGAGAGGCCTTTGAAGTCAGCCTCACAGACAGGCTGGGACCCTCTTTTATCTCGTATGTTAACAGCCAGCCTCATCAATCCTTGCACCAATTCGGAGAGGGCAGAAATGGTGCGGTTCCATTGATCAAAGCACGAGTGACACCGAAGACAAGCAGGGAATTCCTGGCCGTGACCTTGAGCGCAGTGATCACATCGCTGGCCTCCGACGCCTGCCCGGCAGAGGCACATGCCCGTGCGCGAGTCACAGGCGGGCTTCTGGGCACCTTCCCTGTGGCAGTCACAGGCTGGAAGGGAAGAGAAGGGGCAGAGAATGTCAGCTGGTCCTTTGGTGCAGGACTGATGCAAGAAGGCCCTAGACCCTTCTACACATTCCTCCAACTCCCATTTCATATTTTCCCCCCAACTCCCATTTCATATTTTTCCCCCCAACTCCCATTTCTAGACTATTTAAAACTCAATGGATTTTCAGAGATCTGTGCAACAGGCTTTAAAGTGTGGCATTTCTCTCTCTAGTCCACTAATCAATCAGCCCATAATTGATTAATGATGGAAACGATGAATTGTCAGAGTGTGTGTGCGTGCGTGTGCAGACTCTTCAGCTGTTCACTGAGGACCAAGGGATTAACTATGGAAGAAATCCTAGTGACACCAAAGGTGTGTCACAGATATAAAGAATATCCATGACAAGCACATTTTTCTCAGTGCACTCCTCCCTGGGTGAGCCGATCCACATCATCTTTTGTATTTTAAGGGAAATGTTTCTATTTAAAAAAAACAACAAACAAAAACACCACACCCCAAAACAAAACACCAACATAAAAGCACCAAAAAAACCCCTACCCCACACCAAAACCTATGAGGCAACAATCAATTAATTTTGTTGTAATTATAATTAAAAAATACCCAGTGCCATACAATAGTTTAAATGCAGTATGTTTCTAAGCCTCAGAATGAAGGGTAGGTATTGACTTTACAGCAATTTCCAGGTCAGGGCATCATTGGTCTTGGTCTCTGGATTAATTGTAAGGAACAAGCAATTTTAAAAATCCTTTGACAGCTTGAGTGAAAATAATGCCAATTACAAATAAAAATGGATCAGCCCACGAGTCTCCTCAGCCAGGTGCCATCTGTCTGGCTCGCTCAGCTTTGGTCCAGCAGCCTCCAGGGAGGGAGGCCTGTGGGGGCGGCCTGGTGTCATCTTACCAGCTGGAGGCCATTCCCCCTCATTAGCCTCCCTTCCCTGACACTTGGTGAGAGCTGCGGCCTGAAGTGACCGTTTGCAGTGTTTCCTCTACAGTGTGAGAATAAAGGACTAAAACATTTTAATGAAATCAGATTATTGAAATGTTTGAGGGACACAGGAGAAGAGGCTTCCAAAGACAGATTTTCTGAGAGCTAACCTCCCTCCCTGGGTTTTAAAGTTCCACCTGGAGATCTGACTAGGTCGAACTCAAGGAAAAATCATGAAGTCTATGGATGAGATTTTAGTCACAAAAATACATTCTAAAAGAATGGAAGGTTACTATATATGTTTGTGGGGATTGAAAAAAATCATCAATGGGATAAATCATGTATACTGCATTGAAACAGATGAGAGAGAGAACTGTTTAAAAAGTATATATGATTAGTTTTTATTGTCATGACAGGAGTCTAGAACGAAGGTTGCATAGTGGACTGGACTTGGGGGGAGGGATTGTATAACAATGAGAGAATTTTTCTTTTACTTTTCAAAGAGAAGAATGAACAGGAGGGGAAGGGTGGGCAGGGAGAAAAGTGCAACAATGAATGAATGGAAATCCAAAATCTCTGTACATTTTCATTAAAGTTAATAATAATAAAAAAAGAGAAAAAATACATTTGATGAAGAAAAAAGAAAGAAAAATCATCAAGTTCATCACTTTTCAGATTTCAGATTGACTTCCTTTGGAAGTTTATTTTAAATGGAGTTGCAACAGTCTTACCTCTTACAGCTAATTTAACCTCTGAATCCAAGTTGGCCAGTATAGTTCCTAGGGGGTAAAGAGTTGTGCTGCCAACCCAAAGGTAGGCGGTTTGAATCCACCAGCCCAACCTCTCTAGAGGAGAAAGATGGGCTATCTCCTCCTATGTGATCTGAAAACCTATCAGAGTGTCAGCTATGAGTTGGTTCCAACTCAATGGCAATGAATGAGAGAGGGAACCTCACACGTGGCTGTTTAAATTTAAAATAATTGAAAGTCAGTAATTCAACCCTGCAATTGTATCTGATACATTTAAAATACTCAGTTCTAACACTGGCTTGGCTACTACATCAGTCAACACAGATGTAGATCTCCATCATCAAAGAAAGTTCTACTTGGCAGCCCTGCTTTAAGTGCTACAATAGTGTTAACAAAGAGTTCTGCTGGCCTAGTGGTTAAGGAGTTGCATTCCCAACCTGAAGGCAGCTAGTTCAAATCCAGCTCATTGGGAGAAATATGGGCAATCCCCTTCTGTGTAATTTACAGCTCCTGAAAACCCAGTAAAGGGTCAGGTATGAGTCAATTGTGACTGCATGACACATAACAACAACCGTGCTCATACATGGGATGAAGACATTGAGACAAAATTCCGTAAGAAGCCCTTACTTTACTTGTTCACCTGATGCACTCAGTAGTTGTATAGTAGGACTATCACTGTTTGTTCAATAAATGAGTACGTTTAGCTACGCTAGCCCTTTTCCAAGGAAGAGCCTCTCCTGGCAACATGTCCAAAGTATGAGAGATGAAGTTTGCCATCCTTGTTTCTATGGAGCAAAAGAGGGCAGGATTCAGCTGTGTTGTTCACAGGGTCGTGAAAACACCATGCTAGACCTGTTGTCATAAGACTCACCACGACAAATGTCCTTCTATTAGTTTCCTGGGACCCACTGACCAGCCTGTATCTCTCTCTGCTTGCTCCCAAAAGACAGAAAATTGGCTACAAGTCATGATCCCAGGGATCTGTTCCATTGTGATGACTCGGAGAGATATTAATATATAAGCGACACATTTTAATATCAACTAAAAGTTTTAACAAAGGCCAAAATAATCTCCTACAGGACTGCAAAATGTTTTCAAAAGTTGAATCAAGTTTTGTGATTTTTCTACCTAAGTCTGTCTTGTCGAAAGCCACAACCAAATACTGGAATTTAAAGTTCATTTGGTTTAAAGTACCCCCTTGGTGGGGCCTTGTTAGCTGTACACGGGCTTTGTTTATAGGATTACTCATACTTACGAACGCATGGTCCCGGTGGATCACCGTAGTAATTTTCTCTGCACTCATTGCAGTGTTTCCCACCGTAGCCTAATTTACATGGACATTGGCCTGTAAGCTGGGAAAACAGTCATGGGTGAGGAATTATCAAGCTTTATGATTAAAAAAAAAATAATACATCTTAATAGCAAACTTCTTTTTCTCCTCCAGTGATTTAGGACATACAGCTGTGCAAAGGCTGAGGCAGGGCAATTCCCACGGACAGCAACCACCACTGACAATATCAAGGATTGTGAGTTAATGTGTTTTGGCTGAGGGCACTTGAATATACTGCCTGCTCCCAGCTGTTCAAGGACAGGTGGCCCCAACTTAGGAAACATACACAGATGAAAATGAAAACAAAACTCACACTGGGAAATGAGCCACATTCTTTCCCTCTCCTGTTATGGGACCTCTCCCATAAGAGAGAGAGGCCATGGTCTCATACTCTCATACTCAACAATTACCTTGGCAATTAAGTTCTTCAGATACAGAATGTAGGATGTTGTTTCTACTCATGGGACTAGTTCAAGTGGGCTTCTGTTATTTGCCACAACATTTTCTTTGGTAGGCTTAGTTGCTTAATGATTTTACTGTATTTTTTGAGGGGGGGAAACGGAACCTTCCCGCATCCTACCAAGTAAATTCTATGGTCAGCTTTTCTGAGAACTGAGCAGGTTGGATAATTAACAGAAAGGAAATGTGAAGCAGATAGCTGCTGTTGTAATTCTGTATCACACATGACCAAGGCTGTCTAAAGAACAACCTCAGAATTATGCTTCTAGTGAATAAGTAACTGGACAGAGAAACAGCCTGGATCTCTCAAGCTTCCCCTGTCTTGGGAGTTCCCTCAACACCAGTGTTAGCTTACATTTCAGGAGCCTGGTTCTACTCACTCTCTGGGTGTCTTCCTTTGGACACACGCATTTTCCGGTAGATTGCCAGCACTAATTATAAAATATGGAACTCAGGAAGGATAACAAAGTTCCCTGGGCTGCCTGGTCAGTACAGGGGGCCATGGCACAATGATTCGCGTGAACCCGGGCACAGTATGTCCCGCCCACTTCCTGAACTGGCATCATCCCATTGGCAGCCCTGCCATACCGCTGGCGCATGCAATGTCTGTCTGCATGCAAGAAAAATCCTGGTGTTTTTCACATGAGTTGATGCCAAGTTATTACTCCCACCCCATGTTTATACAATGGATTTCCAAAGCCCAATTGCAAAATTTTACTTTTCCCCTGCTAACATTGCATCCCCTTGCTTCTGGCCTGCATATCAGCCTAATTAGGATATTTCAAATCTAATTCTGTCTTCATTATATTAGCTTACAACTTTGCAGTATCTATCTGTGATTTTGATGAGCATGTTTATCCAATTCCATCTATGCTGTTGATGAAAATATTGAACAGCGTGTTGGCATCTGTCTGTGAGAAGGCACTAGGGACCTGGCTGATGCAGAGACATCCAACAGTGGTTGTTTCAGGAACTGGGAGTTTGTATTATGTCTACATGTTTCCTTTGTGCTTCAAAGAAGTGCTTATGGATTGTTGTTGTTGTGTACCATCGAGTCATGAGCTGCTGTTTACTTAAACCACTGCTATCTGATTTTCAGTTCATGGCCTGCCGCTGGCTTCCATGACGGAACTGCAATCTTCGTTGAGTGCTGCTAGAGTCATGCTTTCCAAAAGGGTGAAGAAGCATGCCAGACAGTGACATCATGAACATGAGGAATCCCTCCTGGATTAGGAAGCCGAGTAGCTCTGTGGAGCTCGAGCAAAGTGTTCCCTGGTCGCTGTCTGCAGGTGTGTGGAGGATAGGCAAGCACGTTAGAAAGTACACGGTCAATGAGTACTCGAGTTTAGGTTTCAAAACTTCTCTTCAGTAAGAGGTATCACAATACCTTGGAGAAATGGCTGATTCTAGGACCGAGGCAGGAAATACACAAGTTGAGTCTAAAGCATGTTGTAGTGCTGGAAAGGAAAGATGTGCTTGGACATCAATTATGAAAATCCACAATATTGGGGTTTTGTCAAAAGAACACAGGGCCAAATGAAAGCACTCCTCACAAAGCTGGGAACAATTTGAGCAACAAAATAGTTTGGAAATAGAACTCCAGGAATAAAATAAATACAATTTCACATTGACACAGATAAATGATTGTATAAATAAACAAAAAGGGTAGACTAGAAGAATTTCTCATCCAGAAGAACTGAAAATCATTTGTGTAGCTATTCCATCTTAAAGGAGGTAGCACTTAACTCTTCATTCCTTAAGGGAGAGCTGTGAACAGTGACTATCTTCCAAAGAGCACAGTATGGAATGAGAAAAAGTAAAGAATAACTGCAGTGGAGAAGCCTCACAGCGTGAACAGTGATGCCATACTGATAGTTTGCGCCCTTGACATGATGTGATGGAAATGGCCCTCTACTTGTGTAGTCCTATTCCTCTAAGCACATTGCCCCAGTGTTACCAGGAGAAAAAAAACCAGGTTAAGTTCCAATTGATAGACAGTCTACAAAATCTTGACCAGAACACTTGAATACTGTCAAGGTCATCGAAAGCAAAGAACATCTGAGAGACTGTCTGTCAAGAGGAGTAAAAGAAGACATGAAGACATGACTACTAAATGTAATGTGATAACTGGACTTTAAAGAGGATACGAGACAAAAAGCTAAGGAAATACCAATAAAATATGTTATTGTTGTTGTGTGTCACTGAGTTGGAACCAGCTCATAGTTGACCCTACAGTGGGTTTTCAGAGACTTTAAATGACCTGGGAGAACACTATACTGCCCATCTTTCTCCCGTGGAGCAACTTGTGGATTCAAACTGTGTGCTTTTGCGTTGGCAGCACAACTTCTTACACTAGGCCACCAGAGCTCCCTGAATAAAGTATAGAGTTTAGTTAATAATATCGCATCAGTATTGGCTCATTAATTGTGATGAATGTACCAACGCAAGATGTTAATCAGAGCAGAAATTGTATGGAGGGCACATAGGAAGGCAGTTCTATTTTCTCTAATTTCCTGTAAATCTTCTATTCTAAAACAAAAAGTCAATTTTTAAAAAAGTGTGAATGATGGATATGTGGACCAGGGAAGTGAAGGAAGAAAGGAAGAGAAGGAAAGCCAGATTTGACCTTGAAATAAGAAGTTGAGCATTGACTAAAATGTTCAAATGGGAGATGAACCCCGCTGATTACGTGGAAAGACTTTGGCCTCTTAAATCATTGTTTTGATTTCAATGAAACCCTGATCTCTATATTATAAATTTGACTTTTTATAAGTCTTGAGTTTTGCCTTTTTCCCTTTGTCTTATTATTCCCCCCTCAATCTCCGTTAATGTGAGAAGGACTTTAAAGAATATATCCATTAAGACAAATGAACAAACAGGGGGAAAGCCCCCAAATCATTACATAGCAAATAGTTTTCCCCACAAATAATATTCTTTTCATGATTTCTATGCACATTGTTTCATTGACAGAAACCCTCGTGTGTAGGCAATTAGCACATATTAGCTACAAGTCACATAGTTCCTATTTTGCCAGCTGCATCCTTTAGAACAATGGGTGCTGGTCTCCAAGTGTCCCTTTCCCATAGGTGAAGCAAACGACAAGTCACATGGGAAGGAACAGCTCAACTTTTTAAAATAAAATATGGGTTCTGAAGGTACATGTTTATTGTGATTCTGACTAGTAGTTATGAGTAACAATAATTTTCACCAGTCTCCCCTATGCTTATGAATATGAAATAGAGAAATGCAGGTTTTTCTGTGCGTTTTTGTTTGTGAATTCTAACATCCTAGCCAGAGAGACATCCAGACTGAACTGAGACAAGCAAAGCTTAACATTGAGACCTACTTTTTCTTTTTCTGGAGTCTTTTATCCCTTGGTAAATAGCAACTCTTTTCCTATGTAAGACTGCTCTTGTATAAAACTCTAGCTAACAACAGTAGACAAAGAGAAAGACTGTGATCTTTACACCGTTAGAGCTGTCTCTAAACATCAGTTCTCACTCTGAGCACACAAGAACACTAGTGAGTTTTAAGTGTCTTGCCTGGTCGCAGTGGTCACTTTGGGAAGTTTGGGGGTCACAGTCGCATGACTGACATCCTCTGCCTGGAACCAGATTCCAGTATCCGTCAGCGCAGCGGTCACAGGTCAGGCCGCTGACATTCGGCAGGCATGGGCACGAGCCAGTGGCAGGGTCACAAAGGCAGGGTCCTTCACCGGAGGAACATCTAGCAGGATTCACACCAGAAGGGTGGCAGGAACATCCTGGGATCAACAAGCACTCATCAGAAGTAAAGATTAATGATAATTCCAGCTATCAACAAACTATCAGAACAGCATTGGGGACCCGTGCCCATCATTTCTCCAATGGCAGCCCAGCTGATTCTGTTTCATGAAAATCCCAAGTGGGATATGAGCAGAACTGCTCTGTAAGGTTTCAAAGCTGTGATGTTCGGGAAGCAATCATCGAGCCTGTTTTCCACAGTATCTATGGGTGGTTTAAATCCACACATCCTTTTAGCTAGCTGTCAAGTGCTTAAACCAGGGACTTCTAATATTATAGCAGAATAGGATTTACCATGAGAGCTCTGGTGGACATCTGCTTGAGGGTCAGCTACGGATTGGTTCCAATTCCACAGCACACAACGACAACACAGGATTTATCAAAGAACCTAAGTAGTTTGAACTCATTTGACAGTTTTGTTTCCACATAGTCTAGTCTACTATTCCCAAGGAGCCATGATTAAGATCACCCCTTTTCATACCTTTTGCCCATCTACCAAGGTTCCACTTATCTGAATTATCTGGAAAATATGATGCACTAAATGGACTTGGCTGCACCAAAACATTTAAGATATCTCTATAAAATATGTTGGTTCTTCCATTTCTTTGCCATAGACTCACATGGTCATTTTCTAAATCAATGACTCTCAAATTTTATAGTCATTTGACAAGCTTGTTACAAGGCAGTCTCTTGGGCCCCATTCTCAGAGATTCCAATGCACCAAGTCTGAGGTGCAGCCAGGAACCCTCTGTTAATACCCTCATTTCCTATCACCCAGGGACGTTGTGGTCCATATTCTGAGAAACAGTATTCTGGATACACTAGTGACAACTGTTAAATGCAAAAGTCACAAAAGATTAACTAGTAACACGAATGAGTGCATCGTGGTTGCATCTGGAAATGCCTCAGGCGGCAGCATTGCACTCATTGTTTCTGCTCATGAGTTCAGTGCAGTGGTTCTATTGCCTGGAGGGTGTCCCATTTGCGTCCTTGGGTTGACCCTATAACCCCATGGATGCTGCTTTCACTTGCTGAGACTTGACTAATTCAAACAGCATGGGGCTGACACTACCTTGTGAAGCTGTCATTCAACCACTGCATGTCCTCCTGGAAGTCTTGTAAACTTACTTCTGCAGGTCTGATTGAGGGCAGATCCAAAGTGACCAGGTTTGCAGAGGTGGCAGTTGGGCCCCCAAGTGTTATGCAGGCACTTCAGGCACTCCCCTGTGACCTGGCTACAGGCCCCTGGATCCGTGACATCAATGTTGTCATTGCATGCACATGGGCGACAGGGGGCTCCTGAAATTCTTGGGTTCCTGTAAAAGCCTGGTGAGCATTCTCCACACTGAATACCTGCAAGACGAAGCGGGGAAAGGGCATGTGAGGAGGAGAGTGTGCTAGGGAAGATGGAGTGGAGGAAGGAGGTGGGAATTGCTGTGCCAGATAGAGAATGTTGGGCTCCTCTAAGTGCAGGGAGAACCCGTGCTTTTAAGTGGTTAAGGAAACTAAACTCACTGTGAAACTCAAGTCTGAATCAACTCAAAGCTGGCCCTCCAGTGGGTTTTCAGAGGCTGAAAATTGCACTTAAGGAGATTGCCCAACTTTCTCTGTCAGAGCAGATGGTGAATTTGAACCTGTAGAGAGGCACTTCCTTTGGGCTGGCGGTATGACTAGGAACAGTGCCATCAGAGCTCGCTAAATTAGCTGCAATGCTGTTGTTGTTGATCGGTGCCATCGAGTCATGTACAATTCACATCAATCCTGTGAACAATGGATCAGAAGCCCGTTCTATCCTATCCCAACCTGATCATCCCCAACACACTTGGCGCCCATTGCGGCATTCAATCCATCTCACGGAGCGTCTTCTCCTCCTTCACTGACCTTCCACCTTGCCAGGCATGATGGCTCGATGTCCCTTTCCAAGAACAGCCTCTCCTAACAACATGCTCAAAGTATGTGAGATGAAATTTTACCATCCTTGCCTCCAACAAGCACTCTGGTTGTACATTCTCCAAGAGGTATCTGTCTGCATAAAGCTACCATGTTGTTAGGTGCTGTGGAGTACGACTCATAGTGACCCTATGAACAATAAGCCTGAATCCTGCCCTATCCTGTGCCATCCTCATAAACTCTGATGCACTCAAGTCCATTGCTGCAGTCACTGTGTCAATCTTTCTGGCTGAAGATTTTCCTATCCTTCATTGTCCCTCCACTTTTCCAAGCATGATGTCCCTCTCCAAGGAATTAACTTCTCTTAGCAACATGCCCAAAGTAAGTGAGACAAAGCTTCATCATCTTTACCTCCAAGGAGCACTCTGGCTGCATCTTCTCCTAGATATATCTGTTTGTTCTTTTGGCAGTCCATGGGATATTTAGCAGTCTTCTCTAACATCACAGTTCAAAGGCATAATTCTTCTTCCATCATTCCTATTCATTGTCTAGCTCTCAGATGCATAGCAAGTGACTGAAAAGACCATGGCCTGAATCCAGTACACCTTAATCCTCAAAGTGACACCGTTGCTCCTCAATAATTTAGAAAGGTCCCTGACTACAGACTTTCCCAGTGCAATACATCTCATGATCTTCTGACTGTTTGTACCAAGTATACTGCTTGTGGATCCCTGTAAGATGAAGCTGTGGACAGTTTCAATCTTTTCTCCACCTATTATGATGTCACCTATTGGCCCAGTGGTGAGACTTTTGCTTTCCTGACACTGAGATGCAATCTATGTTGAAGGCTGCAGTGTTTAACCTTCTGTAGCAAGTGCTTCAAGTCCTCCTCACTTTCAGCAAGCATGGTTGTGTCATCCACATAAAGAAGGTTATTGATGAGTCTTCCTCCAATGGTGATTCTACATTCTTCTTTATGGATTCCAGCATCTTGAATAATTTACTCATCATACAGATTAAATAGGTATGGATAGAGGATACAACCCCGACATACACTTTTCCTATTTTTAAACCATATAGGGATTCCTTGCTCTGTTTACAAGATAACCTCTTGGTCTAGGTATAGGTTTTGCACAAGCACA